TATAAAATTCAATTTCAATTTAGTGATGATCATTTTCAAACCATAAATTCAATTTCAAATTAGACTAATTCAAATTCAGTTTTCAAAAGCATTTATTCAAGTTATAATTCAGATTCAATCTGAGGAATTCAAATTCAAATTTAACTTATTCAAATTCAGTTTCTGATGGCACAGATTTCTGCCCATATGCATGCCCCGGTGGAAAACTTTCAATTTATTTATTTAAATTTCAATTTATTTGCATTTGTCTAATCCAAACTAGGAAATTCAGAATCAAAGTCCGAGTCACAAACTCTCACAATCCCGACAAAACCCCGCGTCTCCCCTCTATCCCCAAAACCTTAGATAAGTTAACAGGAAAAAAGTCCTGAAAAAACCCTTCTGCCGAACTCACACCACTCCTAACCTCGATAGGATAGCTTGATAGGGACTCGCCTGTATCCCCAAAACCTTATGCGTGTTAACAGGAACAAACTCCTGAAAAGACCTTAGTCTTTCTACACAGGACCCCTGCGTGCCTAACTTCGCCCACTGCCAATCACATATCAAATGGGCGGGTCCCACAGCACCCCAGATATCCAATCGGCTACAGGTCCGATTTTTATGATCTGCCGCGGAGGTTAAGACTAGCACCGCGCTCCCACATGACTCCTGTCTCCAGCCAGATCAACGACTGGCGTTGCTTTCCCTCTGTGCATATCAATAGGTATGTAGGTAGGTTAATCTTCCTGTCCTGTTTTTACATTTCCTTTGATCTTTTGTCAATCTTTTCATTTCAAAAAAAGACCACAATGGTTTGTAACACCTACAATGCACTTTTTAAAAATATTTATATAAACTCGGCTTTAACACGGGCTAAAGTACTTGCATATCATATCACAACATCAGCTGTCATGGCCTACTCAGGTAACTCATTTCATCTTGATCATCTTATCTTATACTCCTTTCACATTTTACTAGTTTGCATATTTTAAAACTCTTCTTGTTTTTCTTTTTCTAGACTCTGAAATCAGCCAGCTCTGCTCCAGCCCCGTTTCTCTCAACAAAACTGGTAAGTTTTTCATTCTCGATCTCCCTAATAACAGCTAATTGTATGCAATAACATTAACCGTGTTTCATTTTGAAACTCTTTTTAGACATCTCCGACTTGGATTATCTATTCCCTCGCAGTCCGAATTCCACACTACAGCCACATACCACCGACACCAAGGGAAAAATATTCTTCTCTCCAACAGAGACAGACACGATTTGTTAACCGAGCTAGGCAGTCCGGCCCGCAGTTCCAGAGCTCCACGCTCCCTCCCTCCACCCCGGCCTGCGCGGCTTGCCAGCCATCAGGCGCTCGAAAGCTGGCGCGCCTGCTCTTGCAAGCCAGACACGGTCATTCTCTCTACGGTCTCATAATTTGCCATTTTAAACTATCGTTTTTATTTACCATAACTTTTTCTTTTTACCCTCTAATTGTCAGGTCTAGGCATTAAACGCCTCAGAGCATTCAAGACAGCGAGCACCAGGACCATTAAGACGAGGACAAAGATAAAGCGCAACCGACAGCAGCTTGTTTCTCTTGCTCTATGTCTCATTGTTGAATTAATGTCCTTGATGAAATAAGAAATAAATAAGCTCTTTTGTTTTTTAAACATTCTCCTTTTACATTCTTCTGTGTGAACAGTGAATAACTAGAAACAGGATATAAGTGACCCATGTTTAGCACTAAACCTAGCTCTAGCAATGTCAAACCCCAATATCGATCCTAATGTTGGTGAATCTCAAAATACATTTTCACAAAGCAGTGAGCACCCTGCTGCGATCATTGATAATGACCCTTTAGAATTGCTCAATTTAGCTCTTGCCCGATTAGCACATAGTGAAAGTCTTTTGCAAAATAGCTGTCAAAGTTCGGGTGTGGAGTCTGGTGACATCAAAACACAGTCAAACGTTGCTCATTCTCAAAGCTGCCTAACACAAAACATTTCTTCTGAGCCTTTCGCAGCTCTTACCGTGTGTTCACACCGAACGCGATAGACGCGACCAAACACCAGACGCCCCTAGCTTGACGCATGCACGTTCGCACCTCGATGCATGTCCAACGCGAATTATTCACGTGTCAAAATATCCAATGTTTCCAAGTTTAAGACAGCTGTGCTGTTTTCAAAAACTAATTTATAAATTTGAAATTTCACTAATACTCTCGTGTGAGGCGGCATGCTCTCCAGAACAGGAACAAGGCTGAGGAGGAAATGCTCAGTTGGAGACTGGCGTGGCCTCTTCTGGGACTCCAGGATGGCCAGCTCCACCGCCGATGGACCATCCTGGGACCCGTCCCTCGTCCGCCTCGGAGCTGTCCTCCTCTGTGGGCCTGTAAAACAGCACAAAACAACACAAAGAAATAAGAAGGCTGCTACTACATTTTCATTTTCACAGAAACACATGATGTCTGCGAGAGGGTCAACTTTGAATCTGTAAAGAACCTTGTTGACAAACATAGAATGCTACCAGGAGGTCTGACTTCACCTTTTAAGCCTAGTGGCTCAGGAAAAACGTTTTTGTCAAATCTGTATTGGAAAACTGTGTACATGTTTTGAATAAGCTTGTTGAAAATGTGTGGGTTTATACATCCTTTCAGCCTCTGTATTGTGAGCTTCAAGAGAAAAATAAGAGCATTAAATTCATTGAAGGTCTCCCTGATTCTTTTGAAGATGAGAGTTTGTTTCCCTCACACCAGAGTCATCTCATTGTACTGCATGATGTTATTTTTCAAGCATCAAATTAGGGCTGCTCGATTATGGCAAAAATGATAATCATGATTATTTTCACTGAAATTGAGATCTCGATTATTTGACGATATTTATTTAACCCTTTAAGACCTACTATAGAACCAAGTCCGCCAGAGCTTATATTATTTTT